CGAGCACGGCGAGACCCACACAACGCGTACACAAGGTACACCCGCGTTCCGGGGCGGTTCTCACCGCTCCCAGCCACCGATTAGCTAAATGCACAGTCGACGGCCGTCGGGGTCTCGGTCCGAACCGGCGACCTCGACGGCCCTTAGATGACACAGCATAGTAGTTAAACGCACGCATGAGCACATGCGCGAGCCTACCCATAGCGGAGGGTCCAAACCCGTGGGTTCTGGCTAGCCCACCGGTTCTGCGTCCGATGAAGCTTTAATAGTCTCGGGACTGAAAGCAAAAACATCAGTTAATACAAGATACAATATTAACACAAAATTACCGCGTTACTTTAAAATTGTAACTTTAAGACTTCGATATGTATTTTAATGATCATGTCACAATTGAAAACTTCAAGGAACATAAAACCGCAAGCATTATCAACAATTAAAATTCGCACAGCTCTCGGATCCATTACGTACAACTTAAGTACCAGTTTAACTTGTTAATTAAGTTTCGGCGAAACTTCTGCTTAAATAATAAATTGCTTCCACATGAGTTTACTTACGAATATGGATGAAAATAGGCTTGAGCACCCTCAATATTGAGTATTGAATATCACATTTTAATACGAGTATGCTGTCTAGAATATCTGAACATTATATAACTATCCATTTTATAATGAATGAAGTCTGACTTTAAGCGCACTATATTTTAAACTTTACATTTTGCCGTCACAACATTAAAAATCTACAATTAAATCACATGTAACAATGCACATCCGGCTTTTTCGGGTTCCGTACCCAACGGGTAAAACAAGACCCTATTATAAAGATTCCGCTATCTGTCTGTCCATCTGTCACCAGGCTGTATTTCATGAACCGTTAAAGTTAGACAGTTGAAATTAAAAACAAAAAAGGGCTCGTCTGGATAAGTACCACGACCTCACAGAAGACCGGCGTAAAGTGGAAGTATAATACTTTCGATTCGTCTGGTGAGTGAGGAGGCCGGAGCCCAATTTTCAAAAGGTTGTCAACGCATCTGCAACCCTCAGGTGTAGCATATGTCCATGGGCGTCGGTATTCACTTAACATCAGGTGAACCGTCTGCTCGTTTGGCAAGCTTTCACATAAAAAAAAAGTCTAGGGCTATATCATTTATATATTATTTTTATTAAAAAAAAATAAAGCTCAATATTTCTGTTTAAATTGGTGTTACTCTTTCCCGGCTCTTTCCAGACTACTTGGGTAAACGTATGCTATATAAATATAGATATATATAAGTAGCGAACCCATTGTTTACAGTTCTAGCTCGCTCCCAATCCCTCTTTCTAACATTCGTACATAACGAAATTCAGTTTCTGCGAAATGATTTCCTTTGTTCACTGCCGTCGCGCTGGACTTGGCTCGTATGAATTCTCAATGGAGGGTTTGAATTCATTGTAGTCAATTTAAATGTACGAGTACCTGTTTTAATATATTTGCAAAGCTATTGTCCATCCTCCGTTCCCGCAATATGAGGTGTTTATATCATTTTTATACTTAAACCCACTTCGTTTTATGCTCATTATATCTTATGTTATCTTATTATATTATATATATATATACGTTACGGTATGTATAGATATGTTTTAAATTGTTACAACACATTTTTTTATTATGTAACAAAAAAATATTTGTTGCTGCAATGCAGGAATACTTAACATAAAATATCAATATTTTCATGTTTTTTTTATATTTAATAAATAAAAAATTCTGTTGATGTTAATATCAATTTTAATAAACGAACCCAGTTATATCTTTTATAACTCGTTTCGTAGGTTCGCCAGCAAGAAATTCAACAGTGAATTCGGGAAGGCAAAGTTATAACTTAGCGTCTATGCTAGTTATGCCCGACAGTCGAATTACGCGAGCGCAAATATTTGACAACACCGAAAACAAATTGATTATCAGGTCGAAGAAATATCAAACAACTTGATCGAAATAAATGCAAATAAGTTCACGAAATAAAAACGTTCAAACCTTTATTTGTGAAACAGTTGATTTACTTCTGATATATCTCGTAGTTTACCCTTGAACATTAAAGCGGTTTTTACTTCAAACTGAGTGATCGTTTCGTTTTGGCATAATTTTAAATGCAGATTGTTATCAATTATGAATATTTAATTTGTAATTTTAATGCTAGTTGTAGCATTTACGACGAAACTTAAGTGTGTAGATAAACGTCGCAAATTGTATCGTAGCGTCACTACCAAGTTTCGAACATACGCCTCGTCTCAAGCTCGATATCATCACTGCGCGAAAATCACGACTTCTTATCTACTTCCCGTGCCCGAAGGATAAAACGTGATCCTATTACTAAGACTTCGCTGTTCTGTCTGTCAGTCTGTCACCAGGCTGTATCTTATGAACTATGATTGTTAGGCAGTTGAAATTTTCACAAATAAAGTATTTCTGTTGCCGCTATAACAAAAAATAAGGAACAAAAAAAAATATTTAGGTAAGTTGGGCTTTTGTACAGCAGACATGATTTTTTTGCCGTTTTTTATAGATAATGGTACGGAACCCTTCGTGCGCGAGTCCGACTCAAACTTGGCCGGACTTGCATTTTTAGCATTGCTCGGCGTTATCATTTACGCTTAAGTGCTTATTTTACTGAAAACTGGTAATTAAAATAGGTAATGTTCTTTAAAAAAAAACTATTGATATTAAAGACTTTTCCATACGTAAATTCATCAAGATCGACAATATCAAAACTAATAAAATCTGATATAAACTAAATATAATATATACACTCCATTCATTATAGTTAATATTCTCAGTTTCGAGCCATTCACATTTATTCGCCGTGTATGCCACCGACATTTACATTTCCTTCCATTTGATTTCGGAGGGTCACGAATTTCTCGCTCCCATGTGCCAGAAGATCAATCGAATATTAATTTAAGAGTCAAGTATGCATCGATACAATAAAGAAACAAAAGGGCGGAAATCCATTCACTTTACGATCCCTTTGTATTTAGGGCACTTTGAGGTCGTTCCTTACAGAAGTAAACCTTTTCGAGCATTTCTTTTCACATCCATTTCCTTTGACACGGAATTTCCTCAGTATTTTCTATCCGAATATATAAAAATACGCATTAATTTAAAAGCTTGTACAAGTATTTTACGCTTTTTATGATATTAGAGTAATTTTATGTCGATCAAGATTTTTTATTAATCTAAATCAGTCTTTAACACGAGATCAATAACATCAAACAGAAGCATATTAAAGTCAAGTAACAACCTGTAAGCCCACTGCTGGGAAAGACCTCCTCTGTACAGAGTGAAATAGGACATAGTACCACGCCACCCCACCACGGGTTGGCAGACGTTACATATCTTCGAAACATGTTTCTTATAATTTCGTAAAATTTAGGTTTCCTCTCGATATTTTCCTTCATTGGTGTCGTTACCCTGATTTAAACTCGGGTTTCTCTAGTATATTGCACTGAGAGTGAGCACCCGGACACTGAGCTATCTAAGCCCTATTACTTATGCTAACTAACTTTAGCATAAATCAAACCAAATTTCTGAGAGGGCTATTTCAATACGATTCAAACCAACATATTTTTCCAACTCTGTATAGTTGTTGGTATAAGCAGTTAATATTCCTTCCGAGTCATTTTTCTCGCCTCACCTTTATGTAGTAACACCAATTATACAATTAATTTTAATTAAAGAAATAATCCAAAATACAATAAAGATTATTTAAATGTTTAAGTTCATTTATTTATTAATTATTTTCTATTACTTAGATAATAAGGAATCCTGCATGTTTTCCTTTACATACTTATTGGTGCTGGTACTGGGTTTTAAACGCAGATTGCCCGAGTATACTGAATTAGTTATAATATTCCAGTAAAGAAAAAAAAATTAAGTCGTTATCATCCAAAATTTGGCAAATTATACTCACACATACATACAAAAAGCGCTGGATCGACAAGCGCTAGGCTGCTTTCAAAACGTGGGAACATTCGCAACTGTTCAAATTACTTGCCTCAACTCCGGGAAAAATATCTAGAATGTTCCGAGCTCAAAAATACCCTTTAATTTTGCTTTTAACGCCACGAGGTGTTAAAATTTTTGATGACAATTTCAAAGGTCTTTGAAATTACCCAACTCGTTTGTGCCTTTTTCTGTTAAACAAAGGACACATGCTTAAAAAAATATTTTTATGTGAACGTGTTATATCTTACTCAAAACCCGTTGTGACTAGTATAATAAAATGAAATAGTAGCTTTAAATGTTTACGATGTCCATGCATAGGTCCACTTGAAACCAAATGACACTTGTACAATTGTAAACATACACATAAGTTGAACACAACGTGTCCAATGATGTACCCTGTAGGACACTGGCATACATTCTGTACAAATTTGTAATTTTTACCGAACTAAACCTACTGACTGTAAATGTTAAAACAAAATTATAAGTTTAAATAAATGTATATTAATTAAAACAGTAACACAACATTAAGAAGCGCTTCTAAGGAGTATTAGACTCGTTCAATAGCCGTCAAAGTGTTAAATTAGTTATTTATTTTGTGACTTTATGTTTTCTTTATTTTCTTATTGGTGCCTATTTATTTTAACACTGATTAGATGCCTAGGCATTAGGATTTACTTAGTTCACTACTTTACTACACAAGGCTGTTTATTATGTTTCACCAGACACTAAGCTTTTTTTTAGTGTACTCCTGACCTCACACACCGTACAAATGCCCGCAGTTACCTCAACTATTGGCTTCCGACACCTCCGGCCTTCGGTAATGATCCTGGACTGTTGATAGCGCGTTGTCGATGGGGCGGCGAGCGTTCCTACTATCGTAACTACCTCTTCAACGGCCACTCTTAACGGATTCCCGGTAGCGGATCGGTTTGCTGTTCCCACTTCCTCATCAGTTAAGGGTGGTCAAAGTGCGGCTCGCTAGCACGGGGACGGTGGTCTTTGTTGGTAACGTGGTTGGTGGGCAGCGGCGGCGTGGGGTGAGTGTCCGCCGGCGGTGCGTGCGCTGTTCGAAGCGCCCCAGCGTGTGCCCGCGCGTGCCCCTCCCCTGATGCGCTACGCCGCACCCGACGGTACCATCCTGCTCCTCACCGAGAACGGCACCAGGTTGATGACGAGGGCCGCCGCCGCGAGCCTACTCCGCGCCGCCCTCCTCTCCCCGCGCCCCCCACGACCCCGCCACGGTGAGCCGCCGCCGCACCCTCTCTTTATGTTCTCTCTTCTCTATGTGTCTCTCGGATTCCGTCGCCTCTCGCACTGCACGCTACGCAAAACGCTTTATAAGGTAGGAGCGTCACACGGATTGACATCGAGACTGCTTTATATACACAATAATCATCGACTCATTCCTCACTGACACAAAATCGGTTTGATATTTATAAATGTCGCTAGGATTCTATCCGATTACGGGAATTGCTCGCACAGTCGGAGATTAATATAATAAGCGTCCTTGTTTAAAATTAAACCATTTTTAAATCATCTTTGACGGTGCGACATCGGTCAAAACTTTTTATTAAAACATGAAAAATACGTTATATTGTATTACATAATTACGGTTTTAAAAATCAAGTGAACACAGCCAACCAACGCAAGGTAATTTCCCATTGAAATTACTTTATTTATTATGTATAAGTTTAGCATAAATGTTATAACTACATCGCTCCTACTTTATGCCCGCATGCTTTAAGAATTGTGCTATTTTCTAACGACCTACCGCATCAGGCAGACATAGATATATCCTCTCATGTCTATGTATGTCTGAAATTTCATCTCGACTTGCATGGTTGCATGTTCTCTTTCCGCATTTTCTTCTTCTACGATCTCTATGGTTACTGCGCGGCATAGACCTTGGCTTTTACAAATAGTACGAGCGGGACTGCCATCCAATGAGGGCTTTGCAAACCTAACCCACCGGTGCGGTGTACATTTTTCTAATCGAATATTTTCTTTTTGCCCGATACGTGTTGTTCTTTTGCCGATTTGTTGTGTGGATTGTCGTTTTTTTTCTACCTCTTCTTAGGATATTTTTTCTCTTTACTAAACCGACCTTGCGCGATCGCCTCTGCCATTGATAACGGAGTCCCGTCGCGCTATGGCTCGCCAGCCGAGCTAGACGTTAAGAGATACGATGGGTGCAATTGCAGTAAAGCTGATGTCCGACGGATGGCACGCTAATCGGAACGCGACCGGTGTGACGTCATGGATCGGCGGTATGTCTATAACGCAAGACGGCAACCTTATCACCCCGGATAAAATTATGACGCACGTACACCGGTACGCAAGTCCACACTACCATCCTCACGGACACCATGACCACCGCTGGAATCATGAACCGGGGGGGAGCGAAGATCCCCTCTATGCCACCAAGACCGTCTACGGTGCCGGATACATTGATGAAAACCGTACGTATAATTGAAATATTTGGATGTTGTACCAATATCGGCGGCGATTCGTCGTCGCCTCAGTTAAATTTATCAATAAATTATATCTAAGACGTCGATTCATTTAAGCTGAATATTTAAGTACATTCTCCATAAACACTGTTGTTTAACAAACATTACAACTAACCATAGATATCGTAAACACTCATTTCGGGCATAATTTTGTACAGTCCTTGACAGGTCCAGTGAAAACATCTCATTTCATTTCTCTTAGCACATCTAAACATTATACATGTGCTCATCTCTATCCCGTAAGTTTTTCCTAGAAAACCTTTAGATGTCCCAATATAATTAAAGTTAGCCCAAAGTAGTTTTTAAAGAAGAGGAACAAACTGTTTCGAAATTTTACTCTGAGAGTTCACAAAGTAAAGCTTTGCGTAGATAGGTCTAATAGAAGGGATTTTAGTGCTTTAGTACCCCTTTGGAAACCGCTTCCCATTTCCCGATATCCACTGTAAGATTGTAGAGGATTTAGTTTTACCGAAGCGATTTAGTGGAGGAGCTTAAACACGTTAATCTTCGCGAAGCTTTGCAATTCCCGCTAAAGATTCAGATATTCATAATTCATCGGTTATCGGATCGCATTGATTTCCGTAGGTAGATTGAACAAAACAAAACAGATCTCGTTTAATAGAATTTGTTCTAGCACGGTAAGTTTTGCGTTCATCCCTCTTAAATTTGAGTTGTGACAAGGTTTTCCATTAAATGATTGTCTTCACGACACCCTTAGCTTTGATTTATTTCATCAATTACCACATTATTGTTACTGACGAATTGATTTTTATATTTATTGGCATGAGTAATATATATGACATGCTTACTTTTCAGATTCGTAATGTATTTTAACTTAAATAATTCATTGAAACATCGTGTATTTAATTAAATCAAATACATAATGTTCTTAAGTCACATTAATCGGTTTCGTATTACACTTTGTAAATGATATCTTGTCTTGGCATGAGCGTTATTTTAATATTTCAAATTTGAGACACCTTTTCTAATATATTATATATATTTTTATTATTTTTATTATTGCTTATAATTTAAAATATTTCATTATTCTGTTTGTTATATAATCTATTTATTTTACGTATATAAACTTTTTTTTCTATCTATGTTTTAGAACACTGAACTGTTTAGTTTTTAAATAAGAAAAACTTATTTATCTTTATTCTTTACAACACAATTTAAAGCGCCAAGAATAATCCATGTTCAAAAGTAAATTATAGGAATTTATAAACCAAATAAAATAAATTAACTAATTACTCAAAATGTTCAATCAATGCCAATAACTATCGAATTCCAATGATTTAAAAAGAAAACCCGCCGAGTAACGCAAAAACATGAATTTGAAATGTCCAACATGGTACACCGTTTAGAGTAGAATTAATATTTCGAACAATTATTGCGAAACGGTACACACATTGTATAACACGACAACGAAACTCAACACCCATGCGAAACTAACACTGAACAACGACCAACAGAGAGGATTGGGAAAGAGAACGGTAAAGCAGGTGATGAGAAGGTGGCCCTGCAGTCGACGTGCCACGTCGCTTTGGACACGTGCATCAAGGACAGCGAGTGCGTGGCGTCACTGACACCAGTCCTGCAGAAGTGCCACTCCACCGACTGCGACCGGGAGGGTTGTATGGCCGCCCTGCGAGGCTTTTACCGGAAGACAAGTGTGAGCTGGAATACCGAGATAGCTTTCTGCCTCTGCAAGTAAGTAACGAAATGTGGAACCACTTTTCATACATCGTTGTGAACATCGTTAGCCGCCAGGGCTAGGCTAAGACCTAGTCGACATTAATGTCATTATCTATGGTAAATCAAAAAAATGTTTTTATAACAACTGTCAAAGTATCTGTAAAAGTTTTCTTTGTTACTAATATCAAAATATACCACCATTCCCCTAAATTGTGCAGATATCAACCCGAGTAGAACTATGGTAAATCAGGGACATCCAATTGAAACATCATACCTTATCACTGGTCTATCATCTTACTCATTTGCCTCTATTTATTTATTTATTCAATAATTATTATTAATGCACAAAAAGAACAAAGGCGTAGTTAATGCCAAACGAATTATCTCCCAGTCAACTTTAGGTGATACAGAGAAGATTTTGTAGGTGCAGAGAAAGCTATAAAAAAAGGAAAACGATAACTAATACTTACAAGCTACATATTATATTAAGTTTCAATTAAAATTCCCAACATAATTCCTACAGAAAAACTGACAACCGAGAAGATTCATGCATGAATGCTCAAGAACGTTTACATCCCTCATGCGCTCAGCGCCCCCCCGTCGGTTCCCCGCTACCTGCCTGCCATACCCTGGCTCACGACTGTAGAGAAGAACCAGAGTGCAGGTAAGAAAAGCGGGTTTTATGCCACAGTTTTTTTTTTTGTTTGTTATGACACCAAATTAATATCCAATGCTTAGTTACACTAAAGTACAAATTTAAGTGCAGGTATGGCCAGTGTCCAAGTGACCATACCTAATTATATTCGCCGGGAGCTTCCTGTGAAAAAGAACAGTAATTACTCTCTCTTTTATGCTGAGAGTTCGTAAGAGGCCACCGAGGTATCCGAATCCACCATTGCTATCAAAGAATCTTTGATTCAGAACAAACCTCCGTAAGGCTAGTAACGGATCATACAACCGACGCGGCACCACATGTAAAAGCTCGTCAACCTAACCTAAATCATGTCCCCGACAATGGAACGTCCATGAAGAGATCTTTACTTAGTGTCCTCGCTGCCAATATCACAATTATGAACGTTTATTTGGCTCCTCAAATTTGAAATTTTTTAAGTTTTTTTATACAGCGTGTCGTTACAACCGCGACAATAAATGAACACAAATATAGAGGATAACTTTTTAAAATTGTATTAAACATTTACATTCTTTAAACATCATAAACGAGTTATTAAATTTTTCAAAACAAACAATTTTAGAACACCCTTACTTATAAAACTGTAACGTAAAGTTCATTTGTAAAGGTAACAAAGCATATGAATGGGTTGAATGAATTAAAAAGAGATAAAACATACTGTTGAAAGAAAGATTTGTAATGCGACGCTGTGGCAACGAGTGAAAAAGTCTCTCAATGTATGAATCAGCCAGTTGTAGTTGTATAGGATATTACAAATTTTGTTTCTTTTTTATTTAATTAGTTTGTTTGAATTTTTTTTAATTATGTTTTTTTTTTCACCGTTTACATTTTTTCATGATTATTGGCAAGTAGCGTTAGACGTGTATTCATTTATTCTCGCAGTTGTAAAGACACGCTATAGATTAACCATTAGCTCCTAGTCCCTCAAATGGGAAGTGATATGAATGACCTTTTATATTGGATGCAGGCATTAAATTCGCCAGTAAATACGTAAACTAAGCTATATGCACGAATGTTGGCTAACTTAAATTTGACTGCTATAACTCTGAATTCAATTACAACATACAGTAATAAAGAAAATTAGACCTTGTTTTTTCATTCTACGAGTTAGGTTTGAAGTAAGACATAAAGCTAGCTGTTTGCGAAAACTTTCGGGTCAGGGCCGACTCGACTCTTTGTTTGTATGTCATTAGAGCAACACTATAAAAGCCGAAAGGACTGTCCCATATAAACGCAAGTGGGAACATGCACGCACATTAAGCATTTATGTATATATATGTCATCACAAAAGATCTACAAAGAGCCGAGTTTGACACAAAAGAACCGCTCTGAATAGTTACGGATGGGACAATATGAAAAAGATTGCATGAAGTGAATTCATGTTTCCTCTGCGAAGTTTTCTAATTTAGTGATGCACTATTGTTCTATTATAAACAGGCCACTTGACTGACCCCATTTCATCTGTAGTAATTTATCGTACGACCGATTTACGGATGACCGGGACAGATCCTCAAAACGGACAAGACAGAAAGTAAATTTCGAAACGTTATTAATTTAATTTTTAGTGCTAGTCGCTGCACTTGATTTACACTGATCTTACAACCGACTTCAAAAGGAGGTTCTCAATTCGTTTTATTTTTTATGTTTGATACTTCAGTACTCCTTCATTAATGAACAAATTTTAAAAATTCTTTGTATATTGCGTGTGGTTCAGCTCTCATTTGATCCCATATTGATTTCGTTGATATCAGACCTTGGTTTCCGGAAATATATCATGGAACTCTAATAGAAGATTATACTTAAATCGTTTTTTTAATGTAGTTCAAGTAGTACTTGAATGGTCAAAAACTTTTGCATCTTACTATTTGCGGAAAGTTCGTTTCTGTTCCGTCCATCGAGTTGTATAACTAACGTAATCCGTCAATGGATAATCTTATCAATTATGGTGACCAAGAAAATATAAATATAGTTTTCAATCGCATACTAAACAGGAGGTTCTCAATGCTATTCTGTTTTATTTTATTCGCTTGTTACATTAGAACTCCGTCATTTATTAACCAATTTAAAAATTATTTTTGTATCGCCTTTGATTTACAAATAGAAAATGTATTGTGTGTGAGATGTTTGAAGTCGATTTTTTTTTTATAAGTACTTAACTTAAATACATTTACTATATACTAAAGCATTTTAACATTCAAAACTTCATGGTGACAGAACGGACCAACTTGTTTGACGTTGAAATACGTATATTTTATCAGGAGGAATCGACAGAGCGCCATCTCGTGATTTTTTGAGAAACCTACGTGTCTACTATTGAAAGTTGTTCTATTGGTACCTCATCATCATCAAATTATGTGACATATCCGAATACTAATAACCTTATCGAGTACAAAAACGATTTAACAGAAAAGACGAGCGAAGCTCGGTCGCCCAGATACTTGACCCAATAACGCTTGACGTGTGTGGATTGAATATGGAATATACAAAATTTTCACGACATACATCTTTACATATTTTTGCAGACGATAGATAGGCAACGCTGTTATAACTCATCATGTATATGATATGTATGTATACAAGAATTGCTGAATTTAAGTTATAACACTTATTGTATGTTACTAACGTTCCAGTAATTGATTCTAATATATTTTATACAATTTTGAATACCTGTATATTTGTTTGTATATGTCCAACAAAATCAATACAGTTTCATTAAACGGATGGATGATTCCCGAACGAACAATAATTATTTCCAAGATGATACTTGCTCGTAGTCTATTGGTAAAAGTCTGGGAAATTTTACGCAATTTTAATATTAACATTTCACAACAATAATTGTAAATATTTTCTCGAAGATTGCAGACGTACTTTTTTTATTTTTTATTGGAGTAAAAAATACAAACATTTCATTAATAAAAAAGTAGATAAAATCTACAATATGTGGCCATTATTGTCGGTACACTTTTTCTATTTAATTAAGGTCTAGTATAATGATCGTAGAAATTCGATAAAATTTTTTAATAGCATTATCGGATTTCGAAAACGATATAAAATAGCTGAAACCAGGTCCATTGAGAATGTTTGACGGAGCATCTGGTTGTAGCAATTGTAATTCTCAGGCGATTGTAATCGGTATCGCAAGCTAAACGATCCACATGACCAATTGCAAAATGACTCTCTATCTACAAATCTAAATCTGATTATTGACGTACTTTTATAAAAGGAAACAAATGGCTACGACGGTCCTGACGTCACAAAAGCACAACAATATCTGGTACCACGACTTTCTCTACTTTTTTTTTATGTGAAAAGTTGCCAAGCGAGCAGAAGGTTCACCTGATGTTAAGTGAATACCGCCGCCCATGGACATCTGCTACACCCGGGAGTTTCTGATGCGTTGACAATCTTTTGAAAATTGGGGCTCCGGCCACCTCACTCACCAGACGAAACGTGAAAGTATTGCTAATACTAAAGTAATACTTCCACTTTACGCCCGTCTTCTGTGGTACTTACCCGGACGAGCCTGCCCACTCGTGCAACAGCCGAGGCTGCTGCGTGGCCCTACCACCGTTAAACTAGCTGTTTAAGCTCTACACGCCAGAAAGGCTCGTGCATACCATCTGAGCCGATTCAAACTACAGAGTAGGTAACCTCTCTCCATGAGTCGTCGTTTCACGGTAGACATTCCACGAGGTTTCCTGCCTTTCTAACTTTCTCTTTTCACTTTATACAAGCAATCATCATATTAGAAGTCATAATACAAATATTTTCAAGGGTTATCACAAACTAACTTGCAAAGAGACTTAACGACTTTCAGCCGCTGGTACAAGCTGATTTTTCGGTTTAACCGGTTTCGGTTCAGCTGGTTGAACTATGCTCACATAATATTAGATGTACTCATGGTCCACGAATGATAGACCTGTGTGTCTTGCATTCGTGCACTATGAGAAAACTATTGACTCTTTAGGAACAAGACTATTAATACTTCTCATTGATGAGGCGTCTGTATGATTCCGCGAAAATTACAGTACAATTACAGTACCTGTCACCTAAACATATCAGACTTCAGCGAGGAGGGAGAAAGAAGGACAATATTTCCCCAAAACTGTAACCTTCCTGAATATATCTTTCAATATCTTATGTTTAAGACATAAGACTGGAGAGGCGTAGGCATCAACGTCAAAACGGAAAATACATCTCACACGTACAATTTGCAATTAGGCGTAGATGACGAAGTTACTTTTGAGAATTTAACAACGAATGCTCACCAATGTAGCAGAATCTTCTAGGAGAATTGCTCTCAAAAGTGAAAAAACATAAAGCATGTGTAATAGATTCAAAGATTTGAGACCAATCACCACGAACGAGAAACCTATTGAATTTCTTCAAAAACATAAACAGTGGTAGGGCCATACAACAGGTTTCGCTGTTGCACGAATGGAAAGGTCCGTCCGAGGTAGTACCACGATCTCACAGAAGATCGGAGTGAAGTGGAAGTGCCTTTCGTCTGGTGGCCAGGCAGTGGCCCATGGACATCTACTACACCTGAGGGTTCCAGATGCGTTGACAACCTTTTAAAAATTGGGCTCCAGCCACCTCAGTCACCAGACGAAATGCGAAAGTATTATAATTCCACTTTATGCCGGTCTTCCGTGAGGTGGTGGTACTTACCCGGACGAGCCTGCCCATTCGTGCAACAGCCGAAGCTGCTGCGTGGCCCTATCACCATCAAATATCAATAGGGATTTATATACTGCATAGTTATTGCCATTATGAAAAATTTTATAGGTATATTTAAAAACCATGTCTGCTAAATCATATATAGTCAAGAAGTGGGTTAAATGGATTTACTGTGAAAATATTAGAATCGTCGGGGCAATTGGCATGTGTACACAGCACCGCATTCTTGGAATAGCTACACAATCAGACGGGGAAAACTAACGAGCGTTGTGCATGCACAGCAGTAGGCATTA